TAGAGTCTGAGCAGATTAAATCTAATGTTTAACACATGGCCTCAGTAACACACACGAGAGGAGAGAGATAAGCGCTCGGACACACACACAAACACAGGGCCAGGAACGAAGGGGGCGGAACAGTGAGTCCAACACCTCAGGTGATTTATGAAGATGGAGGATTTATGATGAAACTTTCACACTCCGGTTTAACAAGACACTCATAACTGTAACTGGACCATAGATCACTACAGACAATAATTCGTTTCGATACGAGATTTGATGAAGTAATTTATCAAGTCATAAAGTTATTTTAAAAAGCAGCTGGGTCATTGTTAGTAACATATAAAACAAATTATATGTTTTATATATATATATATATATATATAATGTTTTAGATTTGGATTCTGTGATTTGACTCTTTCTGATGTTTTATTAGGTATTAATCACCTGTCTCAGTATAATACAATTGTGAAATGACAGTTAAAAATGTTTAGGTACACAAAATTAATAGTAAAATAGTATAAAACTCTCTTTATATTTTCATAACAATTCTAAACATATAAAATAAAGCATATTTCGTTGTCTATTGGAGCTTAGAAGGGTTCAATTTGAGTAGTTGCTTTTCCACATCATCATCAGATCTCACTTCCCTCCGTACATTAATATTCTCAACCATATTCTCAAAACTATCCTTCTCAACACCTTCAAAATTAATATTTAGATCAGCTTCTAATCGATTAATCATTTTATGATCAGCCAATTAAAGGTTTGGTAAACCTACTACCACAACTTCTGCCATTATCCTTTCAATGTTTTATTTAAAAAATGTCTAATAAAATACAAAATAAATAAATAAATACCATCCATCCATCCATAGATCCATCCACCAATCCACCCATCAACTCATCCATCGACCCACCAATCCCCTCTTCCATCCATCCACTAATCCATCCACTCATCCATCCACCCATCCATTCACCAATACATCCATCCGTAGATCCATCCATCCATGCACTCATCCACCAATCCATCCATCAATAGATTCATCCATCGATCCACGCATCCACCAATCCACCCATCCATCTACCCATCCATCCAACCATCCATTCATCCATCCACCAATCTACCCACATCCATACATCCATCCATCGACCAATCCATCTATCCATCCATCCATCCATCCATAGATCCAACCACCAATCCATCCATTCACCCACCCACCAATCTACCCATCTACCCATCCATCCACCAATCTACCCATCCATCCATCCATCCACCAATCTATCGACCAATCCATCCATCCACCAATCTACCCACCAGTCCCCTCTTCCATCCATCCAACAATCCACTCATCCATCCAATGTATTGATATGTATTGACAGCAGAAGCTATAGCATATAAATCACCGTAGTATTAGATGTTCAAAGTGTGTACACAAAAGCGATGGGATAACTATGAGGTTTTGTGGTGAAAGGTTAGGTTAACCGCTGATTTGAAACAATATGAGGATTAACAGAACACATTGATACGCTAGACAAACAAATACAGGCCACATTTGCACTCAGCACTAGAATAGGTAACGCATCGCCGCCATGGCGGAAGCTATACGCCCCATCACAATCCACCAATCCATCCATCCACCAATCCACCCATCCATCCATCCATTCATCAATCTGCCCATCCACCAATCCATCTATCCACAAATCCATCCATCCATCCATCCACTTATCCACCCACCAATCTACCCATCCACCAATCCATCCATCCATCCATCCACCAATCCACCCATCCATCCACCAATCTGCCCATCCACCAGTCCATCTATCCATCAATCCATCCACCAATCCATCCATCCATCCATCCACTTATCCACCCACCCATCTACCCATCCACCAATCCATCCATCTACCAATCCCCCACCAATCCATCCATCCACCCATCCATCCATCTATCCACCAATCCATCCATCCACCAATCCACCCATCCATCCATCTATCCACCAATCCATCCATCCACCAATCCACCCACCAATCTATCCATCCATCCATCCATCCATCCATCCATCCATCCACCCACCTACCAATTAGGGGTGGCACGGTTCACAAAACCCACGGTTCGGTTTGTATCACGGTTTTAGGGTCACGGTTTTCGGTTCTGTACGGTTCTTGTTATTTTTTCTTTTAATCTTTAACACTCCAGAAATGTACTTCAGCATGTGATATATAGCTTAATTATCCACACTTTAGGATACAGTATTACAAAATATATATATTATATTCATGCAATCATGCACAAACTGAATTTGACTCTTTGACTTTAAGCACATTTTGGGACTATCTCAGAGGAAAGCTAGGTGAGATTTAGATACAGCAAGAGAGAAGAAATTGACATGCTTTTTGTTTATTTGGCAAAAAAAAGGAGAATGTGTATCACTATCATACAAGAACTTGTGCATTTTTATCACATAAATCTTATTTACACAAAGAAATTAACTTTCATGTATCAACTGCTAACTTTTGTAGCTCTTACCAAAATTCTATCTTTTAAAAGAAAAAGAGAGCAACTCTTAAAACACTGTCTTTTAAATGTCAATATACATGAAACCTCATTGCCTATATATAATTAAGCTGTAGCAATAGCAAAGGCCATAAACATAAAGTGAAATTTAAGTTCAACCTCAACACAAAAACAGTATCAACAATGCTTCTATTCCCAAAATGTGAGGGTACTTTTTTCCACTTAAAATTAAAGTGCAGGGTTTGGAAACGTATGACTGAAGCTCTTATCTATACATAAAGTGCCACTGTAGTTAAATTAAAATATCATAACATGAAATCCAAAATGTTCCCACACACCGGACTTATATAGACTTATACGACGCTGGCGCTTCCTCCAACTCCCTCATCTCTCCCACTTGCCATTTCTCCGCGTGCCGTGACCTGCAGCGCTCCATACTCCACTTTTACTGGCTTGTTTATTAACTTGAACCGGCGCTGCACAGAGCGATCGGTAATGACATCAAATACCGCGAAAGTGATGAATGCATACGGAGCCGACTCGCGCTAGATTGATGTTATTCACCGATCGCTCTGTGCAGCGCCGGTCCAAGTCAAACAAGTTTATGTCGCGCGAAAAGAAAACACGTCACATACGGGCACGAGGTTACATTGCGCATGCGTCGAACCGTGAGACGCACACGCGCTCCGAACCGAGACAAGCGAACCGAACGGTTCGGGTGTTTTTTCATGTACCGTGCCACCCCTACTACCAATCCATCCATCCATCCATCCATCCATCCCTCCATCCACCCATCCACCCATCCATCCATCCATCCATCCATCCATCCATCCATCCACCAATCCACCCATCCATCCACCCACCAATCCATCCATCCATCCATCCAATCCATCCATCCAATCCATCCATCCATCCATCCATCCATCCATCCATCCATCCACCCATCCATCCACCCACCAATCCATCCATCCATCCAACTAGGCATGTGCCGGTATCAAATTTTCATGCTGCGGTTAATTGATTGAGCTTTTATTGCGGTATACGGTATTATCACGATATTTTAATGAAATTATATTTTAATGCTCAAGAAAAACAGATGCATTGTGAGTCTCTAAAAAAAACTCAACTTGTATCACAATGTGTAATTGTGATTTTCGAAACATATGGTAACTATACCAAATTGTTTAAAGTTTAGTGACATGTTACAATGACTGGTAGGTTACTGTTTGTATTATTCAATTAAATTCTTGGATTTGATTTCAGTCTTAATTCAATATTGACTCATTTGGATAAATATTAGGTAGGCCCCAGTCTGTTAATGTTTCTCAAGAAAAGAAAAAAACTCACATAATGCTGTAAACATACAGAGAAATTAAATATAATATTTAGCAAAATACTCCTTAGTCAACTAATGTGCTGGTCATTAAATGGCTTTCCTGAGGTAACGTTTTGTGACACAACTGTTCTCCTGCAGTGTTACTGACCTCTTTCCATGTTTGAAAACACTGATTGATCGTTATTATGTACAAGTAAATATACCTTTCGGTAAGTTATACTGTATCTTTAAATAAAAACGAAAGTAACATGATGATCGGTTTACTTGAACTGAGGAGCAATGATCTGTGATCAGAAGAGCTGATTTATCAACTTCAATTTATCAATAACAACTTTCATATCAAAAGTAACCTGCCCTGTCTAGTCTGTCGGTGTCAGTGTCCTCTTTGCTCTGTGATTTTTCTCTGTGGGAGAGCGTGTGAAAAGTGTCAATTGAGTTAAGCGCCTTTCAGACAGGACGCGGAATGCGCGACGCTGCGGCCGCTTGGTTCAACGTTGCCCTTCAGATACAACGCGATTTGCCATTTTACAAATAAAAAGTTTAAGTATTTTGAACTTTAACACCGGCGTGGTCGATGCAGGTCGACGCAGCAACAAAACATCCCTGCGCGTCGCGCGCGTATTCCGCGTCCTGTCTGAAAGTCTCAAGCTTGAGTCTAGCGGAATGTCTGAGAGTTTGGCAGCCCTGCGGGGATAAATCGTCGGGAGTATTCCGCCATGCTTCTACTCCATGTGAGGACTGTTTACATTAGACTAGTGCGCACTGCTGCATGCACACAGTGCTTATACATAATGGGAATTGTTTACATCAGAGTGCGCGCGTGTTCTGCGCAGCACGCAGTGTTTGAGCGGTTGAAGGAAAATAAGCAGCTAATGCGCGCTTTAAAAGTCTAAATTCGAATCTATTATTTTTCACGGTATTTTGAAGAGCCCGCGATAACAATATCGTGCATATTCATTACCGCGATTTATCGCATTACCGAATACCGGCACATGTCTACATCCAACCAATCCATCCATCCATCCACCAATCCACCCACCAATCCATGCATCCACCAATCTACCCACCCATCCATCAGGAAATAATAACAGGATACACTATTTTTCCTTTCTTTGCACTTGTCTCAGAACATTTGTATGCCATGTTCAAACAATGGTGTGTTTACCTGTGCAGACTTGGCCAGCTTCTGATTATACTCCTTCTCGAGATGCTTCAGCTTGCTGTTGGTCTGTAATGAAAGAGAACACAAGAGAGGAGTGTGTTAGAGACACATGACACCAGCGAGATGCTTTGCCGTGACCTCTGCCGCTAGCGTGTGTGTGTGTGTGTGTGTGTGTGGCTGGAGCTCTGGGCTCAGGGCCAGGCCTGACACCACAACAGCACACGGGCCTTTCATCAGAAGCCAACTTATCACCACTTAACAGGAAGAGAGAAAACAATCTCACAACGTTATCTGCAAAACAAGAATATGACATGAAAAAACCCCGCTGTAAGCTTTTATGAGCAAGAACATGAAAAGAAACAAAGAGATAAATGAGTATACGAGGGTTATTTTTGTGAAAAGACAGATGCGCTTTTGTGGCTTGCTCCCAGATCTGATATTAGTAAGAGATTGACAGAAACAAGGTAGTGTTTACCGCCGGTTGATGTTCTCATCATCATAAAGATGCGACTCTCAAACAGTTTGTCTCAGCCAAGCAGGTCGAAGATAGCATGAGGCCTTATTACTTTATCTCAACGTGAAAAGCTGTGCCGTTCTTAATTTTGTATTTGCCTCGGAATATCAACATTTGCAAGATCACTTTTGTCTCTGGAATAGATTGATCTGTGACTGCATTAAGTTTAGTTTCTATTTGTTAATGAAGTGAAAAAAGTGTTGGGGAAAGTTACAATAAAGTATTGAGTTAGTCCGTGAAAAAAATAACTAAATGAGTTGCTTTTTATGGCAAGTAATTTGTTACGGTACTATTGTACTTTTTCTCACCTGGGCTGGGCTTGTTTAAGTTTTTAAATAACACACACCACTGATCATATAAATGATTGGATTGCTCACGGCGTCTTAAAAGTAAATCCATATTGGCATTCCCAAGTATTCCCCATATTCTATTGATTATTAGGAAATCGCTAGACGCAATATAGACGCTTTGTAAGGTTATGTAATTATGTTGTGTTATATACTAATCCTGCTTTATTCAGTCTATTTATTTCCCTTCATAACACATTGGCTGATATATAAATATATTATGATGTAAAAGTAAATGGACATCGTTCATATTTTCCCTCATATTATTCCTAGTCATTTCTACTTGTAGAGCTATCATTAGCATTCTCACTCGGCTCAACGCTAACTGCTCAAATGTGGGATCTTTCTTTAACCCAATCAACTGCTCAATACATGTCAAGTGACCGATCACACTATTGAACTCCATGTTGTCACACTAAGAAAACTGTTGAAACATAGTAATGAAATATTTGTGGTTTATATGTGGCTCGCCAAAAACTATTTCACAACGCACCTTCCAAACCAATCCAAGTCAAAAAGTCTTGCACCAAAATATCGGGCAACATTTGGAAAGTCGGATGTTGAGGTTGATGCTACTGAATCTGATTCAGCAGGCCGGAGTCATCACCAAATGATCACACACACATCTACAGCAAACCTACAAGCAGATGCTCACTCTCTGGTCCTGTCAGCCACTCGATGTGCCCTCGAGCCTTTCACACTGACGAGAGAAACAAAGCAACGCCAGCTTCTAGAAAAAGCATGTTGCCATAGAGACCTTACATTACTTTAAAGGATTGGTTCACTTCAGCGTGAAATTTCCTGATAATTCCAAGATGTTGATGTCTTTGTTTCTTGAAGGTTTTTGAGGAAAACATTCCAGGATTGTTCTCCATATAGTGATTTCAATGGGGTCCAAAGGGTCGAAGTCAAGTCAGCTTTATTTTAAAATGCAGTGTTTCAAAGCATCTCTACAGAGATAACAGGAAAATAATGCAACAAAGTTTGTTTCCAGAAGAAAATAGTGTCACACAGTCAAGCTTAAGTAAGTTCAGTGATGGTTCAGGAAGGTCCAAATGTGAGTTTCAGTGCAGCTTCAAAGTCTCGACACGATCCAGCCGAGGAATAAGAGTCTTATGCCTGGTTCAGATTACACGATTTTAGCCCGATTTTGGCATGATCCATTTGACGTAGGGTGTCGTGGGGATTCGTAAACGACAACGGGCGTCGGGACGCAAGATTCGATCGTATCATCTCGTATAGTGTTTCATGGTGGGCGACAAACTACGTTGCGTCTGCGATGCTTCACGACATCACGACAAAAAGACTAGCATGTTTCATGTTTTTAACGGTCGTCCACGACGGTTCTGTCAAATGTATGAGGTTGACCAATAGGAGCACAGAAGCTTTTCCGTACACAACTTTCAAAAATGTCAAAACGAAAGAGAGACGATGGTGTTAAAGGAGTAGTTCACTTTTGAAAAAAACTTTTGCTGATAATTTACTCACCCCCATGTCATCGAAGATGTCCATGTCTTTCTTTCTTCAGTCGAAAAGAAATTAAGGTTTTTGATGAAAACATTCCAGGATTTTTCTCCATGTAATGGATTTTAATGGGAACCAAACGGTTCAAGGTCCAAAAGACAGTTTCAGTGCAAACTGTTCAAAGGGTTTTAGATGTTTTTTAACGATGAATAAGGGTCTTATCAAGCGAAACGATCGCTCATTTAATGACAAAGGTTATTTTGCACGTACGTGACGCACGTTTGTGATTCTCATGTTCGAACTCGTTCATTAAAATGAACGAATCTTTTTCCGAGTCATTTGGTTCATTCAACGAACAAAACGAACGAATTGACTCGGAAAAAGATTTGCTCATTTTGATGAACGAGTTCGAACAGGCGAGTCACGAACGCTCATCACAGTACAGAGCAAGGCGAGCATTTGAGCTTATAAAACTTAAACTTTGTTATTTATTTATTAAATGAGCGATCGTTTCGCTTGATAAGACCCTTATTCATCGTCTGGAATCGTTTAAAGCCCTTTGAACAGTTTGCAATGAAAGTGTCTTTTGGACCTTGAACCGTTTGGTTCACATTGAAGTCCATTATATGGAGAAAATCCTGGAATGTTTTCATCAAAAACCTTAAATTCTTTTCAACTGAAGAAAGAAAGACATGGACATCTAGGATGACATGGGGGTGAGTAAATTATCAGCAAAAGTTTTTTGAAAAGTGAACAACTCCTTTAACGTTAAAACTAAAAGTCAAATATGTAAGAAAACAATATTTTACCTCAAGTTCTCTTTGGAGGATTGACAGCCCATACTGTCCTCTTCGAGCAATCCAGGAACGTGTCCATTGTCGGGTTTTCTTTCTTATTTCTGAACACAGGACGCCACTACAACACTCATCGCTTCATCCATTGTTTGTTTACGTTCGTTTACGGAAGTCACTCGACCCTAGTTTAGCTTTCTCGATGACATCACGAGCGCCATTAAAGACCGCATGCGATGACTGGTCAGGAAGCAACGTGTAGTCTGACATGTGTCTTGTCCACGACACGACAAGATTTTAGGAGTCAAAATCGCGTAATCTGACACAGTGACTATCGTAACAGACAAAAAAATCGTGTAATCTGAACCAGGCATAATCTAGACAAACCATCCGCCATTTTATACAAAACATGGACATTTATATACTTTATAACCACAAATGCTCGTCTTGCACTAGCTGTGATGCGCCACACGTTATGTACTGAGGTTGAAAGGTCAAGCGTGACGAAGGCGGAAGAGCGACTGAGTGTTTACAAAGCCAGCGTGTGAAGACCGAGTCAAACACTATTTACAAAACAAATAAATAAATAAAAAAGTTAAATAAATAAATAAAATAATAAATAAAATATGAAACAACGATTTCGGACGATTTTGAGTTTTCCGCCTACCTTTTCGCGTGACCTTTCAACATGATTATGTAATAAGTGAAGTACAAGACGAGCATTTGTGGTGTAAAAGTACAGAAATGTTTATTTATTTTTGTATAAAATGGCGGATGGTTTGTCTAGATCAGGCTCTTATTCCTCGGCTGGGATCGTGTCGGGACTTTGAAGCTTCACTGAAACTCACATTTGGACCTTCCAGCCGTTGGACCGTTTGCCTCAAAAACCTCTGTTCGACTGAAGAAAGAAAGATCAAATAATCAGGACATTTTAAATCAGAAGTGAAATTCTGCTGAAAGGTAATGGGATGTTTGTGCGAAAGAACAATCATTATAACATCCTAAGACGTTTTGAAGGGCAAATGTCTGCCTTTCCTCAAGCTTAAGAGCTCACCTTCACCCTCATATCGTCCAAAATGTTTTTATGTCCATTATTTAAAAGGATATGTTTAGCTGAATGTTCATGCTGCTCTTTTCCAAGAGGACAGACACTGTAGAGATATAACAATCATACTAATAGGATGGCGCTTTTATTTACCTTTTTTTGGAGCTTGAATGTCACTGTATGTTTTTGTTTTATGGAAGAGCACAATCTCTCATTTGGTGTCCAATGAAAGCAAGTCATGCAGGTTTGGCACAGCATGAGAAAACGATGAGAGAGTTTTAATTTTTGAATGAACTAAGACCAGACGATTCGATAAAAAAAGAGGATGCTTGATTGATCTGCACTGATCGAAAAAAACACAACCAGTTAGAGTAAGAAAGCTGGGAAATGAACTGCTTTGAGTGTGTTTTCTTGCGAAAAATAACTGTACCTTGCCAAAGGCATCGCTTTGAGCTCGTATCAGGTGTTTTAATCACTTCACAATGCCGAGTCCGCGGACTTTGAAGAGCGAACGCTGTGTTTGAACAGTACTGTATTTGAAAGCACAAAGCATGCAATGCTAAGCCAAACTTCATTAGCGATCTAATTCTGGAGCGGAGCAATCACAACCAGTCCAATCATACACATTAAAACAGATGGAAAATAAACAGCACCTACAGGGAGTATGAGATGAGATGTAATTATTATTTCTTTCAAAATAGAAACAATTAGGTTTGATAGTGTACTAAGTACAAGGCTGCCAGGCATTTCTCTACAGTTGTGTGTTTAGAGGACAATTTCAGGGATTGCTGCTCCATTGGATTGTGTAGATTGGAGAGGAAGACGTTTTTTTTTGTTTTTTTGTAAACATGTTTTTAAAAGCAATGGGTGTTCAAATGTATCCAAACTGCCTTGAGTTTATTGGT